ACACTGGATAGCTGGCCAATCACAGCACACCTCGCTTTTCAGACCGATGAGCTTTGTAAAAATCGACGCGTTTCAGAGGAGAAACAATAATGTACAGTATGTGGAAAATAATGTGTTTTTTGAACCTTAAACCGCATAAACACATTTCATTACACCAAATACACCAAATAATGATCTTTTTTAGCAACATCATATGACCCCTTTAAGTAATAACTATCTGCATCCATTGAAATATAATGCCTTTACATGTGATTTCACAATCACTTTATGTAATTAAAATGGCAATAAGAAAACTTCATTGGGAATTTATTTGTTTAGCTCTCAAACACGGTGTGTTTGACTGTATAAAAAAGACAAAAGTAACTCCTTACAAATACACTGCAAATAAGCCTGACCAACACAACCTTATGGTTACCAGAGCAGTCACGTGGTGATTATTTCAACCAACAGAGGGAGATGCAACCTACTCTGGTTGTGTGCTGCTACTTTCACCAGAAGAACTTTACCTGGACAGAGCACTAATGACCATCTGTTATAAAAAGACACATCGGTCATTCCTCAATATGCATTCTTATGCAATCTTGCATCTTAAAAAAAAAAACACGTTGGTGTAAAGTCCTAAGTAACTATTTCACCTTTAAAAAATGAAGGCACCAAAATAGTTCCCTTATAAGGCATTAGGCTCCCTTAAGACATCTGCTGAATGCACTGGTGTTTTTGTTTTAACTAAAGGATGAGAAAACTACAAGATGTGTTTTTAGTGATCAAAATAAGGTATTTTAAACATTTAAGAGTACATCTTTAAAGCTGCTTTGAGAAATGTATATTAAGAAAAGTGATACAAATAAACGAAATTTAAATGAATATATGAACAAACACATTTTTGTATTTTTCATCACTTTTACAGTTACATTTTTGTTCATTTAGTGTTTTTTTGCACTTTTACACTGAGAAAAGATGGCCACTTCTATCACTGCTCTTTCTACTTCTGTAAGAGAGCTGTTATTAGAGCGCACATCCCATTCGACTCTCCCCTGGACAAATCTTGATAGAAAGAAATGCTGTGATGTTGCATGATGTTGTCACAGTGTCACAATGAATGCACAATACAATCAAAGCTAAAGGTGGTCCAACAAAATATTAGAGTGTGCAACTCTTTTTTTTTTTTGCACAGGCAGTTAAAAGCCGACTGGCACGTCCCAAAGAGTTTCAGAGGGGTTTAGGTCAGGGCACTGCGGTGACCAGTTCATACGTGAACGTGATTCCTTATGTTCACTGAATCACTATTTCAAAATTGAGTCTGGTTAACATTAACAGCTTTCCAGCGCTGGAGAGAACTCAAGGAGCGGAAGGCCTGCGATCAGCCGAGGTTGCTTTGTTTCTTCTCGATAGATGAGTAACACCGTGTCTGCGCCGCAACAGCTAAAGTCTGTCTAGTACACTGGACGTGACAAACATTTGAAATTTGTGTCAATACGTCATAAATAGAGCGCAGCAGCAGTTTTCTGTCTGGGATTTGTCGTGCCGCCCCACATCTAGTGTAGACCATAGATCTGTACAGTATATATATCTATGGTGTAGACAGCATCGCTGATTATAATGAGTTCTATAGTATTTTGTCGCGCTGCGCTGCTCGCGTTCGGTGCAGACACGGGGTAACATTAATTTGAAATTTGTGTCAATACGTCATAAATAGAGCGCAGCAGCAGTTTTCTGTCTGGGATTTGTCGTGCCGCGCCACATCCAGTGTAGACCATAGATCTGTACAGTATATATATCTATGGTGTAGACAGCATCGCTGATTATAATGAGTTCTATAGTATTTTGTCGCGCTGCGCTGCTCGCGTTCGGTGTAGACACGGGGTAACATTAGTTTTGCTTTGTTTCACAGAACTAATCGTTGCCTGGGTTGCGTACGTATGTGTGGGGCAGAGCTAACCCTTTTGAGGTAGGGACGTGTTTGTTTTGGTGATTTCAAATGTCAACATTGGCTACCAGAAATCACTTACCCCACCTTTAA